CAGACTTGCAGATGTCATCTGTATCTGGAACAGTGGCTTTAAGCCCCAGTTGGCTTGACTCTACCTTTCACCTTCCTAAAGCTTTTTTTCTTTGTTTGTTTGTTTTTCTCTCCCCTGATCACTCGGGAAGGATCTTGGCAGATAAATAACATCACTATCATCTCCATCTTTTTCATGCTTTTTCTCTGTAGACCTCAGAATGTGTTACAAAAAGGAATAGGCCACATACTGTATCTATTACAGTAAGGAAAACAGACACAGAGAGACAAAGTGGCTTTCTCGATGTCAGAGTGTGACTTCTGGATTGGTGAAAGGACTGGGAATTCAGCCTGGTCCCATCCTTTCAAGTCTAGTACCCTGCACTCTGGGCAACGCTACCAACATGTTTTCTCTTTGCTTTGGATCCACAGTGTGCCTGTTGGCCATCCTCTTGCCTGTGGGGCTGGCTGTAGTGTAGTGTTGTTTTATGTACATCATTTGTGGAACACTCTGGCAGTAAAAGTTGCTTCAGAAATGCTGCATATTAATTACTCCTGAATTTTCTCCCTTGTATCCTTCATGTCTTTTATTTTCTGATGTTTCTTGCTTACTGGTTTTATGGACAACAGAGGGGAGAGAGGATGTACGCAAAGCCGTGGGAGGAGGACAGAAATGAGGGGAGAGGAGTATTTCCCTCGTTTTGGAGCAATGAAAAGGCGAAAGCTTTTAGTCCTGCCAGAAGTCTTAACAATTCTGAACTCCTTAGTTCAGTACAGTAATGACAAAACAAGACTTGACAGGGCCATGCCCTTGGTTTTGCCACTCTTTTTTTGTGGCTGTTGTGCATGTGCTGCAGTGGGGTTTCTAAGGAGACTCTGAGGTAAGTGCGGGGCTAGTGTTCCGAGGATGTCCTATCGAAGGGGACAGTTGTATTGGATTATATTGGATTTGGAGACATCCTAATTCAGTAAACATTTCCGCATATCCTTCACAATGAGCGAGTCCAACACAAACTGGGTTGCAGCACCTCAGCAGACCTTGCTGCTTTGGAGCCACGTTTTAATTGTGTCCTGTTGGAATTAAACTGCTTGGAAATCTAGAGGATGTTCTCCAGGATGTAGTATTTGTCCAGCAGTGTGTCTAACAGGTTTGGCATCCACTCTTTGACCAGCAGTAAAGGTTTTAAGCTCCAGTAAGGATAGAAGACCTCTGGCTGTCGCAGCACACCTGCTCGAACTATTTCTTGAGCACACTCTTCCTTTGGATTTGCAGCCATTCTGATTTTATCACCAACCTTTTTCACAGCATTGTCTAGAGTAAAAGGAACAGTAATCAGACTAAGGGTTTTCACTGTCTGCCCTTTACTAGGAGGATCCCAAGTGCCAGGGCAGCACTCTGCTATTCCCTCAATTACGAGCAGCCAGGTCCCGGATTTTTTTTGTAGCTCATAGATTACCATGCACGGAATCTGCAGCTCTTCCTCCCCCTCCCACTGCCTCTCCCCCTGCTCTTTTCTCTTGCTCGTAGAGTTTCATTTTCATGTCACAGCTTAAGGATCATGTCTTTACCTACTAAAAAACTATGATATTTAGGTTTTTTTAATTTTTTTTTTTTTACCTGTATTGATATATCCCAGCACAGCAATTGTGACGGAGAGATTGGTCTGCTGGAGGTGAAGTTCCCTGCGTAGAGAGCTGTAGAATCCCTCCAAAGCAAACTTGGCTGCACTGTATGCTAGGGCGAAAGGGGCTCCTATGCGACCTGAGGGGAAGCAGACCAACGGGAGTTACAGAGACAGTCACCCAAGGACATTGAGAAAGTGCTTATGGATAAGAAGCAGCGCTGAAGGTTTGAGGATGCACTGGGTCCTCCTTAGTGATCCAATTCTAAATGCTGCTTGTACCTTTTATTAGTATAAATGACAAACGCAAGAAAAATAATTATCTTGTATGAGATGTGATGGCTCTGCACACGCAAGAGCGTTTCAGTGGCACTTCACTTCCAATCGGTTTTCAGACTGAGTCACAGAGAGGTGTTGCGTGTCAGGGAGGGAGCAGTCCCAGTTAACAGGTAACATCAATTTTAAAGGAAGGTTTTGTAAGGCTGATTTAGAGGAGAGTCAGAAGTGCTCATAAAAGAGTTCTGTAACAGGCAAGGGAGGAAAAAAAAAAAGGATTGGGTTGTTTCTGTAAAGCGATGAAGATAATTCCAGCATTTTTGATTGGCTGGACTCAGAAGAGACTAGGGTGAGCAGGGCGAGCCTTCCTTACCGCTCAGGGAGGATATGACAATGATGCTGCCCTGAGACTCCTGCAGCATGGTCAGTGCTGATGTGGTCATCTGGACGTAACTCAAGAAGTTGATGGTCATGGAGCTAGTCACTGCTGCCATGTCCCCTTTGAAAGGGCCAAACTGACCACTTCCTCCCACGTGGTTCAAAACCAAGTAATCAAGACCCCCTGAAAGAGAAGACAAAACACTGGTTCATAAGAAGCTTGTGGCTCTGTTCCTGGACTGGGGTAGCTGAAGTATTGGCTTGTTCATCAACATAGCAGCTACTCTCTGTTTGTGAATCAGCTTTTAACAATGAATCCAGTAGATGGTACTGCAAACCCTTTCCATTTAATCAGAAACATTTATTTGACTGTTTATCATAGCCAGAACTTACAGCTGTTAAAAGTCAGTATCAAAACTCCCATAATTTAGGAGAGGAACTGAGCTCCCTATCTGATAGTTGCTGTCCTGACTCCAAGCTGATGCCTTGTTTTTGTTTCCCAGGACGTGTAGAAGGTGTATATGGGCCTGTACAGAAAGCGGACACCTAATTATTCCCATGCACCACTGACAGTGTTCTTGCCGTTGGAGGTCATTGGGGTCAAAGTCCTCACCAAGAACTAACTCGGATCCTATGTGGTTCATGCGCCAGCTGTTGCAGATCTGCTTTCCCTGCTTCTCTCGCCTCTCTGCAGCCTGCTGGAGGCTTTCTGTGCTCTAACTGCCACCATCCCTCCTCACTCCCTTGGCTGACAAGCTCCCATGGCATGCGTGACTTGCCAGCAGCTCCTTGGACACCACCCACGTGCCCCAGTGCGACAGATAGTGCTTACTGACTCAGAGCGCGCAGACAAGGGAGGAATAGGATTTGCTGCTTAAGTAAAAACCTTCTGTAAGGGCCCAAGCATTCAGCAAACAAATTCAATAATGGCAGTTTGGCCTTTCCGCCGTTAATGTGCTGTAGCCCACCAAGTTGTACTTTGGGAATAACCCTGTTGGGCACAGAGAAGTCTGTGATGTGCAGAAAAAAGCCAGTCCCTCTGCTCTGTTGGTACAAGTCAAAATAATCAGTTATTAAAGGGATAGCTCTGCTAACTGCCATGGACTGGGCCTGCACGACTGGGCCTGCTGCTGTTGGTACTGTTAGCATAGGAATGGGAATAGCATACGTGGCCCTTAGGCCACCCTCTCCTGTTTTACTTCCTTGTTTTGGAGAGCGGCCCTTGGGAAGACCGACAGCATGGAGATTGGAACTAGGCCACGCAGAATGCTTTTTCATTGGTAATTTTGGGAGACCCGTTACTGTTTACTGAGTACTGGAAGGTAAAAGTTTTACCCAGCCTTTCTCTGACACCTTCAATGACCTTCTGGGCTGCAGTCAGATTGCTCATGTCTGCTACGATGTGCCCGGCAGAACTCGCTCCCAGGGCCAGGCACTTCTTTGCCACCTGGAGAGAAAAGAGCAGGTTCAATACCACTGTGTACAAATACGGTGTTTCTGCTGCAGCTGTGGTACAGCAGTTAACCTGTTGCATGGAGGAGAGCATGCAGCCTTCGTTTGTCCTAGCTTAATAAATAGGGGAGGAGTTTTTAAGGTAATGTGGCAGAACTGAAGGTGGGTGGAGAAAGTTACAGGTCCTGAGCCTGACTTCCTAGGTGTGAGGGCTTGCTGAGCGAATGCTTAGATACTTAGTTGTCTGTGCCCCGCTGAGCTGAACTGCATACTTCTGTTTATTGAGAACCTAAGTGTTCTGTTGATTTTAATTGCTGTCTTGCATCCTTACCTCCTTGAGCTGCTGTTCCCTCCTGGCAGTGAGGATCAGGTGGGCTCCCAGTCGAGAAAACTCATAGGCTATTTGTTCCCCGATCCCCGTGCTTGAGCCTGTGACTAGCACACGCTTCCCTCGCACCATATCTGTGGGGGGGAGGTGGGTAAAAGGCTGTTAGCTGGGAATTTTTCTCCCTTCCCCAGCATACCAAGCAGTAGTGCTGCTGCAGCAACGCACAGAGTTGCAAGGCAACTGCTGCTGACTCCAGTTTTTCTGCATCCCGATAGTGTGTGCCATGGAAGGAGGGCAAAGGACTGCTTATCTGTCCGTTGTGGGTAATTGTACCGCCTTCCCTCTAAAGTGGTTCAGACTACTCATATCTGTTAAGTGCTGCATGCAAGCAGCCAGTCTACAGATAGAGCTCAGGGCAAGCACCAGAAAGGTGGCTGTTTATGGGCTTCTTTTAGAAGATATCACGCCAGAACTGTTTTGCCCCAGGACAGAGAATGAATGTCCCTCTTTTATCACAGCGTAGGCGGAAAACTCTTGCTTCAACTGCAAGTTTCCATAGGAGAGGCATATTCAGTTTCTTTTCAAGACACCTGATTTCTCTTGCATTTGGATGGGCATCAACTGAAACTTATTTCCCATCTGATTCTCATGAGCCACAAACTCCATATTTCAGCATCCCCTTTAAAACAACCTTTTCCCTTCAGCTTTGCCTTTCACTGAAAGGGACAGTCACCATCAATCTGGTAGAGCTTTAGGAAGTGCCTTCAACCCATTTGGCTGTAGGCAACTCAGTAAGTGGAGGTTATTATTCCTCTTCATACTAAGCTGTGAAAGTGCATCAAAAAGCATTAATGTCTGTCCTGACTGTAATGCTTTTTCCCCCAAGCGACAAAGGCTTCATCGTAGTGAGAAGGCATCCCCAAATCCACTTGTATGATGTCTTCAATTTCACGATGAGCCTCCAGCTTTCCTTACCTGCCGATATAGTTTCTTCATTGTAGAAGTAGTAGGCGCACAGGCAGATGAGGAGGGCGACGAAGAGCCTGAATGCAGTCATCGTCAGTTCTGTGCACGCATACCGGAGTCAATCGTTAAACCCAACACACGCTGTCGTGCCAGGGGATAAACAGGGGAGGGTCATTATCTGCTTATGTCACGTGCCACCCACCTGAGTTAGGAACGAAGTAATCTTTCCCTCTCATCAGCAATTTTTCTCGGACTGTGAACTCTGGGTCAGTGATCGAATCACTGGCAAAGTTCAGTTTTGAGAGTTCCGGAGTCCAACTGGATTTTCTTCTCCTTGGCCCTTACCAGTGTGAGCTCATGGGATCACACTGGAAATTTGGATGCAGAATGTATCAGAATCTTCCTATACATTTATTTTTTGCAAGCTTCTTCTGATAATGGAATAACAGAAGGTCCCAGAAATGCTGTCTTATTAGTAAAAAACACCTTTTCTAGTTTGCCATATGCTGAAGCTGCGTATGTTGTCTGGATTTTGGTCAGGGCAAGCAGCTCACTTGGCTCATTCACTCAAAACTGCTCACCTGTAGTCTGTAAGTCACTCTCTGTACTGTGAGCTCCTCTAAGACACAGTGCTTTTCCTTTTTCTTTTTCTTTTTTCTCCTCTTTTATATTTAGCCTTAGTAGTTGTTACTTGCTCAGCTGATGGTACTGTCAGGGAGGGCACGTAGGAATTTCTGATTGTCCATCTGTGTCCCCTGCATGATTTCCTGCATCTGTGAGGACTTGGGTGCACATGCGACACACCTCTTAGCCTTGCAGCCCCCATTGGGGACTCTTGCAGGTAGAAAAGCTCGCAAAAGCAGTAGGACAGGAGGGAAGGGATTAATTCATGAGCTTTGTGTCTTAGTTCCAAAAGATCATCGCTTGTTAGAGCGTAACCAGAAATATCAAAGCTCTTTTAAAAGCTTGTATGCCAGAATTTCCTGCCCCTTCAGAAAGAAAGCATCAGCCAGGAGAAATATGGCATTTGAAAGATACTGTTTTCACAGATCAGTGATGGAAATGGGCAGGCCAGCAGGACTGGAGAGGCAAAGTCCTCTATCATAAATTTACCCTCTCGCCACTAATATCTTTTCTATAATCTAAAACCACAGCTGCTAAGACGAAGTTGATTCAGATCTCAAAACCCCTGCATCGAGACACCTGGAAGGGTGGCTGCTTGTGGTGATAAGAAACGCTGGTTTTGGGGAACTTGGCTGAGACCCTCGTCATTCCTTTCCCATTGACTCTAGACAGCCCCCCAGAACTAGAGCTTTCAGTTTCTGTTAACCTGGGGCTGCCCTAGGAGGGGTTATGTCAGAGAAAGACTACATCTGTTATGCCCAAGCCCTAGGTTTCGAATTAAGAGGCTTGAGGGAGCCAAACAGTCACTTGGTACTGGTTTGAGATGCCTTTTTTTGTTTTTTCCTTACAGCTGCCAAGACAGGGAAAGGGCAACGTGCAAGGCAGTTGCGTGGAAAGAAGAACCCCCTGGAAGGTGGATTTAGCCCCTTTCACTCCAGGATTCCTGAAACTCCTAAGGTCACCCTGCCAAGGGTCTTCGGCCCTTTTCCAGATGTCGTGAAAAAGCAGGTTTGTCTGTAGAAGCGATCTGACTCTAGATGTGGGAAGCTGCTCTTGCACCATACCCACTAGGCGCAAGTCCTCCAGGCCATCTGCAGTCTGCGCTGCCTTCACTGGAGCATGGTCCATGCAGCATCTCAGGCTGCAGGACTGTTTGCTCTGAGGATTTGCCCACAGCTGGAGACAAGACTTGCCAGATCTGAAGTAGCTTTTATTTGCTCTGGGTAATTCCAGGCCCTTTGAGAGGAGAGGCAGAAGTATCCGTTATAAGGCATTCCCTGTTCCTCTCTCCAGACCTCAGGAGCTTGTCCTAGTAGGAACAGCTGTAAGAAAAAAGGGAAGAACACTAGCTGTTGGCTCAGCTATCTTCACGGTAAAGGAATTGGCCTTGTGCTGTTGTCCAATATTTGCTTTTACAAACCGTAGGTGGACAGAGCTGCAGCCTCAAGCCCTGACCTGAAGCAGAAGTGGGCTGGCGTATCAATGATGAGCCAGAAAAGGTGGGAGAGGATTGAAGCATGGCGGGGGGATGATCACGGCTGGATTAAAGCAGACAAGGTAGACAGGAAGGATCCCCGTTTTCTCCCTGGTGATGAGGGAAGAGAGAAACGGCCCAGGCTCTGTAACACACTTTTTTCTTCCTGTTTGTTTCAGCCAGCAACATGAGGATTGCTTTCTTTTTGTTTAGTCTCTTAGGTCAATTATTCCCAGCCATTCCCTCCCCGCCCCCCACCTTCAGCACCTGCTTTTGTAAATTCTGATTAAGCTGAGAGAATAAGGCTGAACACTATGTCAGTTCTCTTACTGAGTTTGTTGTCTTCCCACAGCATGGTTGATTTGCGTCCTATAGTGCTCAACCCTGGAGGTTTTTATAACTCCCTCCAGGCTGGTAACTGCATGAATAAGCTGAAACACACAAACTTCTCAAGGTAGGTCTTTGCTAGTTACCTACAATGGCATAGCCAGCTTCTGATAACTGCTATCTCTCTGCATTGCATATTGCCATACAAACAGTCCCAAAGGGGTGACAGGGAAGGTGTCAGTCCACGTGAACAGTGATGCAGATGGGGTTTTGGTGTAGAAACTTTATTTAGGCTTTCTGTGGCACTTCCTAGTTTGGTGAACTTATTTCCCAGTGGTGTCTGGGGGAACACGCTGAGGGATGAAGTGTTCTGATGCTGCTCTAAGAGAAGCGAAGCTCACATTTTAGTAGTGCTGGATCAGCTTGGCAGAAAAAAAGGAACTTTGTCATCTCAGCCTCTTAAACTGATTATATATATGCTCATTAACATATAGTAATAAACCATGCACAGGGAATTTACTGTAAATGATGCTGTTCCTAATGACTTGTAAGCATAGTCAGTGGAGGGTCAGGGTACCATAGCTCATTTATCAGTGGTAGTGAAGAGATGCCTTGACTTCTCTTGCAGAGGCTCTGTTGCTGAACTGGAGAAGAGGCAGGGATAGGCGTGGGAGGTTCAGTTACCTGTCACATTGCTAATACCAAGTGGTCACTGGAAATGTTTTCTTGTTCTAGATTGCTTGGCAGTGCTCCCATGCCTTCTCCCCAAAACGCTGACTCTACTGGCACTAAACCTGCAGCCTCTGTGCTTAACACACCTATGCCATGCGAGTTTCAAGGTGGCGCAGAAGATGAAATGGATAGTGAGAAACCTGGCCCCAGTTCTTCTTCTAAGGGGGCATAAATATCTCATCTTACATCAAAAACCTACGTGAATAAACTCTCCATGCAAGCTCTGTGGTTGTGTGTGGAGCCTCTGCTATGCCTTAGCAATGACTGCTGCAAAAGCTTTGGTTAGCAGGACAGTTGTACTAGGCTAGAGACGGAGCGACATCAATGAGCTTTCTTCACCACCAAACAGCAGCTATCTAGCTCACTGGAAAGTGCGATCTTCATAAAATGGGAGCGGTGTGCAGGTAGGGGACATGAACTTAACTCAGTTGGCTTCTAAGTGAAGCAGCATTATGTCCAAATCTTGAAACACACAGAAATATCTAACTCCCTCTACCTTCTGTGGAAATTGGGTACCTCAGTATCCTTTAAAGTCTGTGCTTTACTTGCTCCTGCCTGGTGTGGATTTGAAGCAACAGCAAAGCAAAAAAGAGTACTGTGTCATGTGGTCAGTTCTCATTGCTTGGCTACTTACTCTTTTAGCAAATGACTTTGGCATCCTTGCTTCCAACCACGTATTACTTCTTATCAAAATATGAATACAGGACATGTTATGTGGAGGATAGGACTGAGGCATTTTAATTTGCTTGCTGAATGGAAAACTCCAACAATCAAATTCCTTCATAGCCAGAAGGAGTGGCAAATTCTTGCTGAAGGTCAGTTCAGAAATGTAATGTTCCAACCTGGGCAAAAGTATTTTAATCAGAAGTCTTTTGATGGTTTAAACACATGGTTTAACAGATCTTAAGGTACCACTCTAAGGGATCAGCAAAACAGGGTTACCCAGTAGTGATGAATCTGCTGTAAGGAGCGTGCAAAATTACATCTGTGAATAGTTTGAGATTACCTCCTGAGGGAGACCTATTGTACAGGTGTAATTGTATTACTGTCTTAATTCATCAAGTGTTAGTAATTACAACCCGCATTTTTGCAATGAAACAAATGAATCTAAACTGGCTATTGAGACTGTACTTGAATACATTATATGAGGGAGAAGAAATTACAATGTAAATAATATCTGTCTTGTAAACAATTTTATTTCACCATTGAACTGTTCATTAATAGAATAACGTATTCAAAAGTGCATTCTAGAAAATGTAGCAGCCACACCGAAAGCAGCTCTGGTCAGATTAGCTAGGAAAAACTCCTTTGGCATCTCAACAGTATATTATTTTTAAAGGGTTCAGATAGTGACTAGCTTAATTGGCCAGCTGACAATGGGGACAAGTGCTGCTTCCCCTCCTTGCTGGAAGGCGTCAGCCATGTATTCTGTGCTTTCCAAGCATCTCTTAAAAGAGGGCTGTTCTTGTTCAGCTTCTCTTTTGAACCATGTTTTCTATTGCAGTCTACTCCCAAGTCAAAGCCTGCGGGTCCTCTTGCCTCCTTTTGCTCTCTGCAGGCCCTGCAGTCGCCTGATAGTGTCAGTGGATCCCCCAGCTGACAGAGTGGTGTGCCATCGCCCTCCTGTGCTCTTCTAACTTGTCAAGTTACTTGAACTCTCCATCCCTCATTCTTCTCTTGGGACAATTATAAGAAAAGTATTGTTCCAGATACAGAACAGAATTCTGGTCATTCTGTCTCAGTGAATGCATATAAAAGGCACTTTACAATGGCAGGGTAAGGAAGGAGTTAAAAAAAAAAAAGAGAGAGAGAGAGAGAAGCTTTTTCACCATCCCTCGGTTCCCTGGTAAGCCTAAGCGGGGATGATTTCAATGCAGAAAACCGGTCAGGTTGGCATGCGCGAGGCTTGCTGCCCTCTCCTGGTCTCCTCAGGGGCTATGCATTGGATTTCACAGCTGCCTCTTAGGTTGAAGTATTTCCGCTTTTGAGATGATGGGTCCTGCAGGAGTGGAGGGAAGAAGCTGCTTTATAGATGGAACTGGATATTTTAAACAGCAGTGTTCTGATCAGCTGGATTAGTTCAACCGGGCACAGCTTTCAAATCATCAATAAGAGTCACAGCGACTTAACAGACCTTAATGAATCTGTGTATTACAAAGACAGACTGTAGCATGTAATGGCAACAGTGCTAATCTGGCACTCTGAGTCTGCAGCTTATCCCATGTAGTTTTCTGATTGTGAGAAATGGATGCGATTGCGACACTGCTGAGTTTTCTGGCTTCCCTTGCCCAATTTTTTGTGGGCGTTTGTACCCAAGCAAATGCATATGCTTTTTGTTTATGATCACAGGAAGCAGCATCATCGCCCAGCAGAGCGTACCAGTTACAGATGAAAACTTACAGGCAAGTTTTGATGCCCGTTATCGGAACATATTTTTCGTCGGCACATCTCAGTCTCTTTCCTGGCAAGATGGCTCGGCATTTGATGGGTATTTGAACAGGGCTGATCTCCTTACCCTGCAAGGTGACTAAGCAGGGCAGGTACTCACCTTGTAAAAATTTTACTCCTGAAAGCCACTGATCCTCAGCTTCTTGGGTCAGTGTATGTCAATCAAAGGCAGCAGCTCCCCACAGCGGGAATTCAGTTTCAGGGATGCAAAGTGATCTAACCTGGTGGGCCCAATGTTAAGTATCACAATTGGCAGCTTCTTCTCCCGGGCAGCAAGAGCAAACCTGTAACCAGAGTATACCTGCATGAAGACACAGAGACAAAATGATCAGCAGAATAGAAAAAGAAAAGCTACAGAAAGGAATAATGAAAGCAAATTTGTTGTTGGTATTGGGGAAAAGGGCAGTATATACATGCTGTGTTATGTGACTGCACTTAATTCCAGCAGGAAATGTCTTTATTCAGGCGTGCACAGAAAAGAACAGCAGCTTTTAACCTATGTCAGTGAAGGGTTTTACCACAGCAAATACGTACATTGAAGGAAAATGTCCTTGTCTTTCAGTAAATCTCCGCACCGGCTTTTATTAGTTACCATAGGTACTTAAATGCTTCTACTTTGATGGGTCTCACGTGGTCCAGCTTAGGAAGTACAAGAACGAACCTGAGGCATTTCAGTCATTCCTGTACAAAGGATTATGAGCTCAAGGAGAGCAGGCTCAAGGAATTTGTCCCCTAGTATCCTGAAGCCAAGAGAATCACAACAGGACAGCCTTGGTTTTTATCTTGTTCTGGGAGGCATTAGAGTAGTTTTTCTTAATGTACATTAGCATTTTGTAATAGAACCTTGCTTCCAGAAAATATCAATTACACAAACTGTGTTCCAGAAACTTCCCCAGGTTAAACAACAGAGGTTTTTAGACCACCTTATCTTATAGATAAGACGTGGCTAATGGAGAAAGACTGTGAAAGAAAGGACAGTCCTAAGTGACAAGCAGAGATTTCCTGTTGTCTTCTGCTTCAGCAGTTTAGTTAGGAATTAGAGGTCCTAAAATCTGGTATTTTACACAGCATGCGGCGAGGCCTAAGAAGCTGCCAAAGGCGAAAAGCTCAAGCAAAGAAATGTGGGGTGGTGATCTATACAGGGCTGGATTGTGTCAGGTATCCTGGCTCTGCAGGCAACTGTGGACCTATATAGCGATAGAGAGGACTGCAGGGAGAGGTCAGAGTGTGTGAACGGAGTTATTTATAGCAGCTTCAAGGAGATCAGCACTGGAGTGACAGGGAAGCCCAAACAGAGCAACTGTGAAGCCAGATTCCAAGGCCAGTAAAAATACCAAGAAGCTCTGGAGAGGCTGTAGATCCACCTGTCTGCAAGCAGTAGTCCCATATTGTGGGACCAAGGACTGCTGCAGGCAGAGTAGCACAGAAAGAGAATCCAGTATGGGAGGAACGTCCGGTTACCTGCATGGAGGATCCTGCCACCAGCACGGAGTCTGATTCCGCCAGGCGTTGGTGCACAAAATTCACTTTCTCCCGGCTCACTGTGTCTCCAAAGAACGTCACGTCAGGCTTCAGGATTCCACCACATTTACTGCAGGCTGGCACTTGGAAATTACGCACCTGCTCGTCTGTCAGGAAGACATCTCCATCGGGAGCCACACCAAGCGCTTCAGCTTTCCAGGTAGGGTTCAGAGCTTCAAAGTGCACCTGCAGCTCAGAGCGCAAGGTTTGGTCTCCACAGCCCAGGCAGAAAACCCTAAAGTGCAGAACAAAGTCTTAACCGAGAGCTTCATGTCAGCTGAGCCTCTGGAGTCAGTAAGCTGTTGGTTGGATGGCCTGTTGTTACTGTCCGCACTTATCCACCAAATGGCACAGGTCAGTGGACTGTCTGTCTACCTCTAGTTGAGACAATCAAATGAAGAGCTTTATAGAAGAAAAAAAATATATATAATTACACCTCAGAAAGAAACCAACCCATGCCAGCCAGGCAGTGGTCCCCACCTCCAGAACTTGTTGCTTTGCAGGGATGCTCTAGAGGAAGCCTGCTGTGCCTCCTCTCTTGCAGTCACTCTGTGCCTTTTCATGTGGAAACTTTGGGCAATCACAAGCAGACCGTGGTGGCCCCTCTCCAGTACACCCACCCTCTGTTTTTCTGGCACTACCCGCTCTGCTCAGCCCAGGTAATTATTCCTTGCATCCTCAGGATCCTCCTCTTCACCTGAGCGAAGGATATTTGCTTTAGCAAGGAAAGGTGAGATTCTGACTGACCCAGCCACTAAGGGAAATGATCCAAAAAGTGCTCCAAAAAATGGGATGCTGTTCATGCTTATTAAATACTCTGCTGTGAGCAGCACTGATGCGTGACCCTTTTCTGCACCCCCAGCCCAGCACCTTCAAGCATGTCACCTCCAGTAACACTGCACATCTACGTTTTGCCTCCTGGCTCAGCAGCTACGGCTGCACTTGCTGCTTCTTAACCCCAACAAGACACCAGAGCGTTAACCGTCCTCTCTACCACGGAGAGTACCTGTGCGTGCAGCCGTGCAGTTCTGTCATGCGCTGGCTCCCAGCTTTGGTGTGAAGGGCATCCACGTTCTGGGTCACCAGCCAGTGTAGCTTTCCCAGCTTCTCCCAGTCTCTTAGCACCAGGTGTGCTGCGTTCGGCTGGTGGGAGGAGAACTGGGGCCAGCCCACGAAGTTCCTTGCCCAGTACCGCTGCCGGGCACTGGCACTGCGGACAAACTCGGTGTGCTGGATGGGCCGCCTGTCTGTCCTTGCGTAGAGCCCGACGCCTTCAGAGCGGTAATCTGGGATCCCTGATTCAGTCGAGACTCCAGCTCCAGTCATTACAAAGAGCCTCTTGGACTTGGAAACAAAGTGCTGCAGCTCCTCGACTTCCACGGGATCCGGGGGGAGACACTCTGGCACGAAAGTCAAGTTGGGAGAGGTTCTGGATACAACATGGGATCGGAAATGAAGTCTGATGGCTCTGCAACCTCCTGACAACTTCCTGGCAGAGAACATCTTCTGCTAAAAGTAAAGAACAGAACACAGGTAAAAGAAAGCAAAGAGCATGTCCTTAATTCCCTTTCCTTGGGATACTCTGGCAAATAATACTGATAAGTGTTCTTTGTCCTATTTTGCCTTTCAGTAAAGAATTCCAAAGTATTTTGAAAATGTTACTGAAAGCTTACTGCAGGAGGACAATGTTCCTATGCGCCCGTTGCAGGGGGTAACACCGAGGCCTTCCCATGGTGCAAGGACAGAGCTAGCACCCCTGACTCGCAGGGTTCCTGCTCTCCATCCCTGCTGTGAAGGCCTCAGAGGACTCCTAAAGAGCACAGATGGACCTGTGCAGGGCTTTTCCAGGGACGTGCAATAGGCAGAGAGGACAGAGCAGGGAGGGCAAGTACCTCACCCCTGCAGGCATTGTGCGGCTGGTGCCTCCGATTCCTCCACAGAGGAGACTCTTGCTCTACTGTCTCTAACACATTGCCTGCTCCAAATCAGTCTTTTCAGTTTACCCCATCCTCGGCCTCTCCTGTGGAAAGCAACAACACAGCCACCTCAGCATTTTCCAGAACAGATTGATTCTTCGCGAAACCTAAGCTCCACAGGAGGGCTTAGTCTGGTAGGACTTCCTCTACAGTTCTGAATCATTTGTTGTAATCTAATCAGTGAATTTTATTCTCAGTGATTTTTGTTTTGTTTTCATGTTTAGCATTAGTTGTGTTTGGCCTTTCTTCTGAAGAGGTTTAATTTTCCATGTGAATTAATTAAAAGGGACACAGTTTATTGGGAAACGTTAGCGTGCTTTGAGAATAACATCTGTCGTGATCCTCCCAAAAGGCTGTTAAGCCAGTTTGACAGTGTTTAAATTGCTTGCACTGATGGAAATTCTCCATTTCTGTCACTTATCATCAAAAGAGCTCTCGGAAGAAAATGTTTTGAAGGGGACTGAAATGCAGACATAATTTGGATTGGCCGGCAGGAGAGAGAAGGCGGTATTAGGCACAGCAGCAAAAATACCAGATACATTTGAAAGGTGCTGTGAAGCAAGGAAGTAGGACAGACTAAGAGAAAAACTTAAAAATGACAGAACGCATGATGCAAAACATGAGGCTTCTTTTAAAATGAAGGTGCTCGGATTAAAAAAAAAAACCTATAAAGTACGTAAAACTCCTTTAATATACTTATCAAGATCCAAGCTAGCGTTTGTTTTTAACACACATCCAAAATCTTTTACAGAAAGAGATCGGTCCAGTTTAAGGTAGAAAACAAACAAGTTTCTATAAATGATTTCAGGCCAGAAAATCAGAGGTGTATCCAGGTCATCCGAATCTCTTTTGCTGCAGTAATGACTGCAGGCGAAAAGGGGCAACAGTCAAACTGAACACGCTTAATGGAAGAAGATATAGTGAACAGGGCCTGAAAACTTACCTTTCATAATGCTGCCGTGGGGGATCTCTGAAGAGAAGAGAGGACCTACCGGAAGAGTAGTGTTCTGGGAAATGTAGTTCAGCAAGAAATTAAAGCCTACAGCAGGAAGACTACAGTTCCCATGCTTCAAAGAGGAGGGGGGGGAAAAAAAACCTTCCTGAAATGTCATAAGAAAGTGAAATGTGAAAAAGCTAAACGCTTCACAGCTGCCCTCAAAGCAACAAACAAGAAGGAAATCACAGCAGTATTTGCTACGTAGGGACTAGCTTTGATAAAGTGCGCTGTAGACACCCGAACGCAGGCAGCTTCCCTTCACTGATGCTAACCTGCCAGCCTTTGGTTTCAGAAAGTGTCGGAACAAATAACAGGAGCAAAGTCCGCTGTGGGCTGTTGAAGACGATGGCTCTTCCGGTTCCAGAACTCCCGGGGGTGTGAATTGCTGGGGCCGCGCTTGCCCCTCACCCTTCGGCGCCTGCACTCGGGCCCCGGCCCATAGCGTACCGGGAGGGTGGACTGGTCTTCTGCTGAGCACATTGGGAATGACGGGGAAAAAAGTTGGGGGGAAAAGCCAGGGGAAGGGCCCCCGGCAGCAAGGATGGACGAATAAGGAAAATCCGGTCGGTTATGCGTTACAGTGCGGCCAGACGACCCCCAAGAGGCCGGTGTGTGACAGGTGATCCCCACGCTGCTTTCAGAGGAGGCGTGGATGAAAAAGGGGGCAGGCGTCTGTCTTTCATCTCGTTGGGCCTCTCCCCGGGCACCTTCCTTAGACGCCCTGAAGCGCTTTGACATGAAACCCTTTGCCACCAAAGGGCTTGTCGGTTCCCTACCTCCCTCGCGGGCTCGCCCCGTTGCTGGCCTGACCTGCTTGTCACTCTGCTGATTGTCACCTTCTGCAGCCAGCCTATACGGAGACGATGGTGCTGCTGGGGATGCTGCCGCGGTTCCCATAAAAGCTGTTTCCTTGTTCTCTGGCGAGCAAACTGCTTGGGTTTCACTGCTGGCTTTTGCTGGGCAGCGATGTCCCCTGCCCGTTGTTTCTCCACAGTTTGCGGGAACGCTGGTGTCTTGCTGGAAAGCGGCAGGTTATTGAGATGGTGACATTTTTTTCTGGCCAGCTTGTTGAGCTATTCCCACAGGAAACTGTGTTCCCTAGACCCTGAAAACAGCGGCAGTAGAGGGTTTTTGTTGTTTTCTTTCGATGTTTCTTTTGGGGGTGTTTTTGTTCCTTTTTTGGAAGGCCTTTCAAGTCGCCCTGCTGGGGTTATGAGGGTCTGGAGATAAGGTCTGCTTCCCCTCCGCGTGGCGTAAATGGAGGCATTTTTTCTTCCATTCAGCTGCTGGTTCCCATCTGAACTTCAAGAGCTGACACCGTGTGAGACGCTTACCCCGGCCACGGGCAGCTGCACGTGGCCAGTGGTTGGGGTCGGGTTCGCAGCGGGGCACTGGCACAACCTTTCAGTCTTGACATGCACGTGATAAACCATGACTCGACTGGCACAGGGGGTTATTTTTTCAGGTTTTTAAAGAATGAGCTAGAAGGGGGAAGTGCAGACGGCTGTCCTGCAGCAGCCCAGCACGGGATAGTCCACCGCGTTGCACCCGGCGGGTCTTTCTGATAACCTGGAGCGCTTTCCACGAGCATCCTCCAGATGGGGCGAGGTTTTAATCCACTTTTCTTGCCTTTGCAGTTACTTCAAAGCACGGAGGAGCCCAAGGCTTTCTGCATCCCTGGGATTTTGTGATCGCAAAGGAGAAGCGCGTCCCGCTTGCGCGGCGCCGGCTTTGCCCGCTGCTACGCGCCCTGCTCCCGGGGAGGGCCGGGGCCGCCGCGGGCCCTTAACCACGGCCTTTCAGCCGCCGCGTGAGTCTGAATGGACTTT